CCAAATTTATCTCTTTATTTTTATGTGTTGTAATTTTAATTCCTTCCATTATTAATAAGATCAAGTCGTCATTGTTGAAAAAATTTAAACTTTCTAATCTTCATGTGTATACAATAGTGAAACTCAACATTAATTTTTGAGGTGGCTATTTAAAAAAACATACGTATACTAGTTAAAATATCTTAATACTTCTATCAATGTAAACTATATATCAAATTATCATATTAATAAAAGAATTTATGTATATTGATTAAAATTTATCTCGTTAATTAACCGAATATTCCTATATTGGCTTATGTAACCTAGGATCACGTGCTATAAATAAAATATTAACGTCTTTAACCTCAACAACCGAAGACTTAAAAGGAAAATTAAATACAAATATAATGCCCAAGTTTTGAGTTTTTTTATAACATTTAATTTCTATGCTATCAACATCTTTTTTATGAAAAAGGAATCTAATCATTTTTTTACAATAGAATCTAGTCTTTTTTTTGTTTATGATTTTACACAATCTATAACATATAATTATAAAAATATATTAATTTAATTTTATAATAAATTCACACACTATACAAACTTAAACAATAAATTTCAAAATTTATATTTATATAATCAAGATATTTAGATGTATTTTAAAATATTTCCATATATATATATATATATATATATATATTTGTGTGTCTATTTTTTCATTATCGGAAATAAAAATTTAAGAAAAAATATAAATATTTGAAATAAAAATAAAAATAAAAATTGAATTAAAAATATTAAAAAAATTACCTTTAATTTAAATGAAACTAAAAGTCCAATACTTGAATACTTGATTGAAGTCTTCAACTTAAAGAATATGAACAACTAATCATAAAAGAACATAAATAATTTTTTATATCTTAAAATCAGAAATAATAAAAAAATAAATTTTTATTCATTTAAAAATAAAATAATACTACAAAAAGTGATTGTTAACTTTTCAAAAAATAAATAATATTTAAATGAGTTTTAAATTTTAAAAATATATATATTTTTTGAGTTAATCAAATTTAATAACTTATTATACACGATATTATAGAATTGAACTTAATAATTTAATATATATTATAATATATTTTTAAATTTGTTAAATATTTTTGGGCCATATCCTCCACTATTTTTGTAAACCTTCCACCGTTATATATATATATAAGAAAAGCATAAACTCCAATGACCGGAATATCAAAACAATCCAAACAGTAGAGAAGACGGTTAAGTCTTTAAACTAAACTAAACTAAAATATTAACGCAATATTGAACAAATTGTATTTTCATTTAGCCTTAACCAAATACAGAATACCAGGTCCTTTATATAGCACAAATACAACAGAAAAGGCCAGCAGCTGAAACATAATTACAGCAGACTAAGGGGCTGTTTATTAAAATAAAATGATTAAGTGCTGAATGATTTAATAGTCTGAATGATTCAAAGGTTCTGTATGAATTGACTCTGAATATGACATGTTGTTTAATAATGTTTCTGAATGTACAATCTAAATTATAAATATTTTCATTTTTACCTTCATAATGATTTATTATATTATAAGATATGATTTTTTAATAAGACAACATGTGAAAAAAAATATTATGGTAAAATAACGGGTGCTTAATGATTCAGAATGTACTTTAATGCTTAATCATTCAGTAGTGTTTTGATGTTTCATTTAGCATAGTTTTCATTTAGATGTGAGAATCAAACATATTGAATGCTAAACAGTTTAGCATTCAAAGCTGAATGAGAATGGTTCCATTTAATAATAAACAAAACTACCCCTTAAAAACGTAAGCCACGTCAGCCTATTCCTATTACTCAAACAATATGTATATACACACACTGTTATATTTTATTTTTTTAATATTTTTCTGGAGAGATCATGATGCCCACTAGTCCTTTATACCTTCAGCCACTATGTATATATGTATTTTTGGGACAATAACATGTGCATATATTTTTTATTTAAAATTCGTGTTGACATCAAGGACAGAACATCATGGTGCCAAGGGGAGCCTTGACTCCGTCCATTATTTTTATTAAATATTAATTAATATTAAAAATATAAAATTTTAAAAATAAAGAAAGAAAATTTTACCAATCCTTTTCAAATTAAAAAAATTATAAATACGAAAAATAAAATACTTTAACCTCTGATATAATCATTTCTTAGTTTCGCCCTTGATATGTTGTATATTATTTTATTATATCTTAATCATTGTTGTTAGTATAAACTTCATGCTATACAAAAAGAATAATTTTCAAATAAATAAAATAATAAATAATTGATTAAAGATAAATTTAATAATTTTCTTTTTTTCACAAAATAAATTTAATAATCTCAAATTAAAAAAATAAGTATATTCTATATTTGATTATAATATATAACCCCTATCAACGGTAGTTAGAAGAAGATTTAATTGACTGCATAAACACTATCATCTGCCTTCTATATGAGGATTATAATTTTTTTATATTTCAAAACGAGTTGTTTCACCTGCTTTGCTCGTTGTTGGAGTATAACACCTCATAAGATCCCGAGAAGAATCCTCATTTTTTGGATTTAATAATAATTAAATAGAAAAAGGCATCTTTTATTCTTTTAATCTCATAAATGATTATCAGTGTTTTTTTTTTCTGCATACACAATGACTCAAATTCGAGACTTTGTTTAAACGATATCAAGTTACTTACGACTTGAACCAACCCCTGTTGGTTATCAGTATTGATTCTTTGTTAGGCATCCTGTTCACGTCATAATAAATAAATATAATATATTTTTGAAAATTAAATAAAAACATATTAAATAAATACATATTATAGAAATACATAAAATTAAGGGTAAAGTATAGTAATGGTCACTGAACTTTTTTTAAGCTTTCATTTAGGTCCCTCAACTTTAAAAACTTGCAATACAATCTCCCAACATTTACTCTGTTTGCAATATGGTCCCTCAACATTTAGTCCGTTTGCAATATGGTCCCTGACGTAACTGTTGGGGGACCATATTGCAAACGGACTAAATGTTGGGGAACTGTATTACAATTTTTAAAAGCTTGGGGACTTAAATGAATGTTTTAGAAAAGTTCAGTGACCATTACTATACTTTACCCTAAAATTTATATTACAATAATTCCCTAACAATCTTCTTTAAAGATACAACATTATTTTACTTTAAATGTTTGATGTAGTGACAAAATCACCATAAATAGAAGTAAATATATTTCAAGACTTTAACGAAGTAATTGGCTCATAAAACTTAAGATAATTTACAATAATTTTATACTTTAAATAAACATTATATTAATATTTTGATAGGGATAAATACCAAAATTATATATGAGCTTCGGTTAAATATATAAAATGATACATGATTTGAAGTTTATACAATTATATACATAAAATCCCAATTTAATTTCATAAATTGTTAATATTATTATATTTATTAAAAGTATTAATATAGTTATCAATGTAATATTATTTTATGTTCATACATTGTATGCAAAAATAATTTTATTTATCTAATATAGAAAATATATATAACTACTTTTTAAAATATATACAATTGAATAGAAATCAAAACTTTATGTGTACAAATAAAATTAATATTGGAGTTTATTATATATAATTGTATATTATTATAATTTATGTACTATATTACATATTTGAACTAAATTCATATACACTTTTAATATTTATCTCATCAATTAATATCAATACTCTCCGATTTCTTTTTTCTTTTATACTGAACAATTTATACTAAAGAAAAGGAGGAAGTAAAATTTTACTCCTAATAAAAAATGAACCAATAACCTAAGAAATAAGATGTCACTGAAAGCTTTTAAATACTTATCCTATACTTATAGCATTTTTATTATTATTATAAAATTCCCTAGTCAAATTAAATCATTTAAGAACTTTTTTATTTATAAAATTCATCAAAATTGAGGAACTAATACATAAATGCTTCAAAATATTGAAATTGTGTAAGAAATAATATTTTAAGCACTTTGGATGAATCTCGGATGACCCAAATCACTCCTAAACCTTATGAAATTTAGTATAAGATATGTGGATATGCCATGACTATAAAATGCACATAGAATCATACTCAACACATCACACTTACACCCATCTTTTCGGTTGTACATCAATTAATTACACACCAAATATGCAATAAAATTTTCCATCGAGCAAGTCATATACAATATTTATCACTACTAAAATTAGAATATAAACATAACAACATACTCATACATGGTGAATCATACAAAATCCATCACCATACATAGCAAATATATATATTCAAAACATATCTTTAACATACAAAACACTACACCTCTTACTTTTACCTATTGTATGCTTACCAACTATAATAACGCACCACACATAGGTGACATACTTATCAATTTATATAACTTACAACATGAATATAAAACTAACATATCAAAAACATATCAATACATAACCACCTAATAAAAATAAGGGTAAAGTATAGTAATGGTCATTGAACTTTTCTAAAGCTTTCATTTAGGTCCCCAACTTTTAAAACTTGCAATATAATCCCCCAACATTTAGTTTGTTTGCAATATGGTCCCTTAACATTTAGTCCGTTTGCAATATGGTCCCTAACGTAACTGTTGGGGGGACCATATTGCAAACGGACTAAATGTTGGGGGACTGTATTGCAAGTTTTAAAAGTTGGGGGACCTAAATGAATGCTTTAGAAAAGTTCAATGACCATTACTATACTTTACCCTAAAATTAATTTACTAATGTTAATACAGTTGAACCTATATACGTGTGCAATATGCACAGATTCTTGCATAACATTAATTATTTCTCTTCCCTAAACTAACTTCAATGTTGCTCCTCGGTCTCTTCCTCCTACCCGTTCTCCTCCTCCTAATGTATTTCATAGTTCAGCCCCGCCCGTTTAAAATACCTATCAAAGGCCGCCTCGTTTTCGTAACAGGCGGTTCAATGGGCATCGGCCTAGCCATTGCCAAACAAGCCGCATCGGAGGGAGCACGCATTTCCCTTCTGGCTCGCTCCCTGGACCAGCTCGAAAAGGCCAAACAATCAATCTGTGAAGCTTGCGATGTCGAGGTGTCGATCTTTTCTGCCGATGTCCGTGACTACGTTGCCGTTGAGCGTGCTGTAAATAAGGCCGGCCCCATTGATGTTCTAGTAGTGAACCATGGGGTGTACTATGTTGAGGAGCTTGAGACACAAGAACTAGATGTAGTGAAGTCGATGATAGACGTGAACCTGATGGGAAGTTTCAATGTCATCAAAGCTGCTTTGCCGTCGATGAAAAGAATGATAGAGAACACAAAGGGGCTGCCTCCATTGCTCTTGTGTCTTCAATCTCCGGCCAGGTTTAATAAATTGCAGCTTAATTGCCACCTTTTAGCTTTTAACAATTATATTATGCAAAACAAAAGAAAAAGGTTTTAATAATTTCTTAATTATGACAAATTCCATTTTTATGCAAATAAACGAACAACCTAAAAATAATTTTTCTTTAAATAATAATCAAATGACGTATTAGTCTTGAATGGTTTTTTTTTTTCATTTGGAAAAATAAAAAATATAAATTTGTAGTTTAAGTTGCTCTTTTTGATGATGTACAAAATATGATAAATATAGGTGGGTGCATATGGTGCTACGGCATATTCGGCCACCAAATTTGGACTTCGAGGATTAGCAGAAGTATTGCAACAGGAAGTTTTGGTGAATAATATTCATGTCTCTGTGGTTTTCCCTCCCCTTACTGAAACTCCGGGTATTCAACGAGGTATGGTTTTTTTATAAGCACAATTTTAATCTTAATAATTATATTTTATCAATTTAATTCTTATTCTTTCATTTTCAAATTAAATTAAATTAAATTTTTATTTTTTAAAATTAATTTAGTTTTAATACAATTAATAATTATATATCAAAATTTTATGTTAGGAATTTGAGAGCAAAAAAATAACCAAAGCGATATCAACATAAAATAAGACATACACAAAAAAATAAGATTTAACGTGGTTCACCCTTGGCTACTTCCACGAGCGAGATGAATAAATATGAAAAATACAAATACGTGATATCACATGTATCCTAAAATCCAAAATAAATACCAAAACCGGATGGATCCCAGAAACACTATTTCAACATCCCTACAAAATTATCTCTGTAACATAAACTCTAAAAGTTACAGAAATCTCAAAAAATGATTTCATCTCACTAAAATAATTCTCTCTCACTTAACCCTAAAGTTTAATACATAATCTCTATTTATAGAGTCAAATACTTGGTCACTGTCAACATACATTTTCGTCCTACTAGAATTCAAACTCCTAAAGATAGGATAGAATTTTGTTAGGATTCAAAAAATAGGATAGAGTTCTACTATTATTTAAATTCCTAAAGATAGGATCTACAAGCACTCTATATAGCCATTGTAACTCACCATTTGAGGACACGATTTACACACAAAACATAGAGGAAAGCACGGGAAGATACAAAGGCAAAGCTATTGTAAAGGATTCGAAAAGGAAATAAAAGGTAGCATTTTCTTTTTTCTTTCTTTTGCATGTGCACGTTATTTTTCTTGAGATTTGGTTCGAATAACCCAAAACGTGGGCTGCGCCGATGACCAAAATGGGTAGGGTTTCGAAGTTTCGAACCTAGATCTACCCCGAGGCTTATTTTGAAAAACCGGTTTGATTTTCGGTTAAAGGAGGGGAAGAGCTTTTTAAAAAATCTATATTAGTCCCTTTATTTATTATATGGATATTTTATTCATTTATTTTTATTATTTATGTTATTATTATTATATGTGTATATATATATATATATATATATTCTTTAATATTCTACTTATAAATCTATTATTATATATATTGTAATTATCTTTATCTAGTCATATATTTTTTATACTTTTAATGGTTGATTTATATACCTATTATTAATATATATATATTCTTAATTATTTTTATTTGATAATTTTTTTTATTTACATAATATATCTTATAACTTTTATATATATATATATATTATTTTCGTTTTATTTATTTATTATTATTATATTATTTTTTTAAAAAAAATCTTGTGTCTTTATCATTATTATTATTAAACATTATATTATATATTACTAACCTAGAGGATCCATTTTTTTGTCTTATTTCTGACTAAAGCCCCTCACTTTCGGTGAAGTGAGAGGGTAACTTTTCTATTTTTAATACTTTGATGTATATATATATATTTTTTTTCCTTTTTCAAATATTACTATATATAATTATTACTTTACTATTTTTTCTTTATCTTATTTATTTATTTTATTTATTTTATTTTTCCCTTTTACCTTATTTGTTTTATTTACCTTGTTTATCTAACACATTTCTCGATTTTTTAAGGATATTTTCAAATCAATAAAGGGTAAGTAATTGGGGTCGAAATTTTACCTTTTAATTTAACTTGTTATTTTTCTTAATTAAGACAACTGGAAATTACGTAGTACCGAAAGGGCGGTTCAAGGGTGCTAATCCTTCCTTGACCGTAACCGACTCCCGAGCCCGACATATTTCTGGTAAGATGCAGATCAGGTAAGAAATAGGGTATCCGATCAACCCATTTATTTTTAAATAAATGATCGGTGGCGACTCCAATCTATTTTCCTAAGTCGAAGCCCAATTCTGGGGCCCAACTGAAAGACGGTTGCGACAGCTTGGCGACTCCGCTGGGGACACAGGTAAGTGAGTCAGGCTAAGATAATTTCCAGTTGTCTTTTCAACGAAAAGGGTAAGTTTAAATTTTAAGGTAACATTTCGATCCTTATTGCTTACTTTTGATTATATTTTTTCGCGTAAATAGTTGTACTAACCGTTTTCTCAATGATTTCAGCCCTTAAAGTCTTTTTTCATCTAAGGCTCTAAACCCGAGCTCCAAACCCGTTTTAAGTGGGGGTGAAAGCGACGCATTCGTGTGAATTTATTCACCGCATATGCCTAGCAAGTAGCCTTCGGGATTCATATACCTTATGTCTTCGTGTGAATTTATTCTCCGCATAGACATAAGGGAATGTGTCCTCTCGAGTTTAACTTAGTCCACATGAACCTGTGATGGGTTTAGGACTAAGGGTCTGGCAAGCCCAAGGGGGCACCAGCAAGGAGAACTCGGGTACCATTTTTAGCACCTAAACCGGGAGACTTTGAAGAATTAGAGCCTACCCCAAAACCTCATTTCAAACCTTAGGATGCCAGAATTATTTCATGCTTTACTTTCTGTTCAAAGCATGCGAACTAGATAAATATGCGATTAGGATTTGTTCAAAATCAACTTGCGGGATAGAGATCATGTTCGGGTAGGAATAATAAGCATGTGAGGTAGATATCATGTGGGGTAGGACTTTCATTTTTATGACCGTTTTTGATTATTTTTCACCTCACTAACTCTTTTCATCTTTATTTTATTTTATTTTTTTTATCATTTGCATCATTCGAAAGAGGTGTTGATCCACCAAAAACGTGTTTGTCAAACATGAATAATCTGCATTAATGGACAGAGGGGTTGTAATACAAGAGATGAAAATACAGAGGATAGTCTACAAGGCGACTATGTGTCACATTCAATCCAGAAGACGTGGTGCCCACAATTGAAGAGTATATCACTCTGCTGCATTATAAAAGACCCAAAATGAACCAGGTCTACATCAAGCACAATGAAAGCTTATCTTTGAAGAACTGACTGGCAGAGGTTGCAGGGGCAAGATGAAGGTTATGTATCTCGGAAGTCCCTTTGAACACAACAATGGCAAAATGATAGCTGAAATTGGAGACCATTATCGGCGAATTCAAGAAACAGATTAATGAACTTCACATAGTTCCTATCAATTAAGGGCTCCAATGACGAATTCGTTGGGAACAGGCTCAACAAAAGTAAATGCTCGAGATGCGATCATTCCAGACTTCTTGGACCAGTACAAAAAAACAACTCAACATTTTCACGGTTCATCCAGAGAGGCCGGAGCGGTTCGACAGGTTAATCAACCGGTGAAAGACGAAAGCAGAAGACTAGTCAACATGTCAGAAGCTGTCAAGATATTTTTTCTCTTAAAAGATAAAATATTTTTGTCCCCAATAAGGATTATTCATAATAACAGTCACATTTCTTGGATCAATGCCTCGAACATTTCATGCATTCTTGCATTTTTGCATCTTCATCTACATTTTTAAGCATTTTCATAAACATGAAATTAAATCACGGAGGATTTGATGAAGTGGTCTTAACCACATTACACCACATGGAAGCCAAATTTTAACAATTAAAGAAAAACTGAAATCAGTACAGGGGGAGCTGGATCAGCTGATTGTAGGACTAAGCCTGCCAAGATGATCTGAGAAAAGAGTACCCATCTCCTAAGGGCTACGATGTTGAAGTTGTTGCCACATAAGGATTCCCAAACATTCTTCTGAAAACTGTAAGGCGCTTGCCGAAGAAGGGGGCATGGCATATACCATTTGCACTTAGAGGATTATTTTGTTTGAACACATCTTTTAAACGATTGAATTCATGTTACTTTCTAAGGTGGAGCAATTGAACAAATTTTAATCTTTAGTTCTTTGAATATTAAATGAATTAAGGATTCTTTCAAGAATTATAGATTTTTGACATATGACAAGATTAGACCTTTCTTACCCTGTCTCAAACCCTAGAATAAAACACCTTGATTCTTTACCCAAAATAATTCATGGTCATTATCAAAAAACCAAATTTTGACATTACCTCCATTTGAAATTCTTGAACATTACCTTTATCTTTTTGATACACCCACACCTTTCTTTGAGTCAATAAGATCACACAACTATCTTTTTAGACTCAAAATTAACCTTTTTTACCATTAAAACCCAAGGCATTGAGTTGTTCATTTGAACATCAGCATTCTTCCAAGATACAGTTTGGGGCATCTCGCCAGGAGCCTGAACATTGAGACCTGTTGGGAGCAAGGAGCAGAAAAAATAATTCATTCGAAATAATTATATCATGCATTAATTGCACTGTTTTCATGTGAATAGAATTAATCCTAAAAATCTATCCCCCTGGGGATACCTCTTCTGTGAAGACTTACATGTATGAAATGATGAACGGCTTTCTTTCTTTATCCCTTCACAACAGGAGAAAATATATATCCCTTGCGTCCCCTTTTGAGCCTATAGTATTTTTTTCTTCTGATTCAACCCTAACCAAGGATCACCCTCCACACTAGGGGACAAGGTGGAGAAAATCTGCTCACATGAGTGAAGACATTGATTCAGATGAGATACCGAAAGGTGAACCAAATGCCAAGTGCGATGATTCAATCAGAACAAAAAGGGCAAAAAGAAAAAAGGAAAGAAGCAAAAAAGGAAAAAACAAGAACAAAAAAGAAAGAACAAAAATAAAAAAAATGGACAAAAAGCACATGCAAAATTCCCTAAAGACAAATGGTGCATCAAGCTTCAATGAGATTGATCAAGCACAATCATTCCCGAATCACTGAATCCCTTCACTCAAAGATCATAGAGCATCAAGAGAAAGAGACATTTTGAGCAAGACAAGATTGATGTCATCAGAATGAATTGATCATTGGTTCAATACCCTGAAACACTTATTTGGGCCTATTTATCCTTTTCTTTCATAACCACGAACCCTGGCCTACATTACGTGCCTTAAAAGTCCATTCTAATCATACATAGATTTCTAAACAGAAGAGACTATCTTCAGATTTCATCCCGCCCATCAGGATTAATCTTTGTTTGCAAAAAAACAATGTAATTAATGTAT